CGTAAAAATAATGTGAGAAGTAGATATTTCTTTTACTATACTTCTTCGTTTCACTTAGCACTAAAAGGATTAAATTGAAATTTCTAATTAAGAAAACTATTGCACACGAAAGATTACTTTGATTATCTGAATTATCACAAGTAAACTAAATCGCGGAAAAGTTGAAAGTTAATTATTGGTTTCGAAGTTTGTTCGGAGTAACTTGGATATAAAAATAGGATAAAGATCGTTACTTCGTTTCGCTCGAATCATTTAATAATAGTGAGGAATTTGTTTATAACGTTGCGTACAGCGTTGACCTATTATATTATATTTATTGGCGGTACGTCGTTCATTGTGGATAAAAGCATCTTACCCGAATCAATATCAAAATAAAAGAGGGGAAACAAGAAGATGAAGTTGTGAAAATTTTAGTAGCTCCGTCGGTCACTCTTTGATTGAATATTTAAGTGTTACTTTCTGACCTATTTTTTGGTTCAAGTAGCAGTAAACTTTGTACGTCTAAATATGAACGGTAAAAATATCTGCACTTCCTCCGAATTGATCAATAAACTCCATAGGATAGAGTTGCAAAACAATCCGGCGCACTTTCACCGTAGGATTAAAATCTTAAGCTATGGAAATATTTGCTGGTTTCATACTTTCGCAGATTACTATTATTCTATTATATCGAATCCCCCGATATTTTATTACCGCTTCTATCTTGTTATAGTTTTCACAGAAATCCAAATGAACGCCGGTAGCAAAAACTTCAATCGCCCTGATTGAATCATAGTCGATTGCAATTCTACCGCTAAATTTGATTTATGTCGTTTTCCTTTGGTTGAAGTATCCTCGTTGGTTAGGAAATTCCAAGACAGAGATTTCCTTAGATTGCATTGTGGTTCAAGTTATACTTATTTCAACCGCATTGTAAGCCTCCAGAACATGGTACAATATTGCTGCAGTTAGTCAGCAAACATGTCTTGCGATAAAGTATATCTTAAGCGTTACATTTTGCACGTGTACTAGCTAGGGAAATCTGCAATGGATCAATTACAAAGTACAGCAAGTTCTCTCTAATTGGCTCTCAGCTTTAACCTTTTAGGTACGGCTGAATTCTGCGCGAGGCTATTTCTCTGGACGGCAGAGTCTGATGTGTACTGTACAGAGTCTGATACTGTATATACAGGGG